GGGGCTTTCCCAGCAGTTCTTAAAGGGAGAGCCAGTGCAGGGTCCTGGAAGATCCCACCAGGCTCATTGTCTCTTCTCCAGGCATGCCCGCGACCAGCCAATCTTCCAGGTCAAGGAGTGTGTTCCAGAGGTGGTAGCGTTATTGGAGAGGGAGGAGTAGGAAAGCGGCCAGTCTCATCTGTCCACTGAGCTGTTAGTGCTAGCTGCGTGATCTGTGCCCTAGACCTGGGAAGAATCTGGCCTGGTCAGGCTTGGGATCTTTCTGCCAGCCTGAGGCAGCTCAGCTACACTCCACACCCTTGGGGAGAGACAAAGTCCTTGCACATGTAGAAGCTCTGGTGGTCTTATTCCCTCCCCTGCCCAGATCTGGGCATTTGACATTTCCCTCTTGGTCTCCTTCCTGTGCTTTCAGATCTCCCTATTCCCCAAGCCCTTACCTCCTCTGTGCTGCTGGGGGTACTGACACATAGCTACCCTGTGTGCATGAGAACGAAATGCTGCCAGGTTCTCACCAGCCTCACACTCCCTGATGCCCATGGTGGGAGCCCAGGGCTGCAGTCACTGTCAGGCCACCTCATCAAGGGTCTTCCTCTTTTTCGCTGACCCTGGATTTTACCAAGTAGGATGTCCTCCTCCAAGAACTGGTCCCTTCTGATAACCTGTCCACGGTAGGTGCAATGGAGTCTCACCATCTCTTCCCCCAAGGAGCATTCTGGCTGTTTTGCCAAGACATTCTGCTGTTTTGTGCTCACTCTTCTGAAAGTCCGTGGGATTGTCCATGTTTTTCACCGGACTTCAAAGGCGTTCATTGTTCTCCGCTCTTCCTGATGCATTGTCCAGCTTGCACATGCAGGTGAGGCCATTCAAATACCAAGGCTCAGCTCAGGAGAACCTGAGTCCTCAGAATGACATTGTTGGTTTTTTAACACTTTAAAGAAATTTTTAGCAGCAGATTTGCCAAAAGGTAATGCATTGTTTCACTTCCTGCCTGCTGCTCCCCTGGGCAATGATTGTGGACCCAAGTAAAATGCAATCCTTGACAACGGCAGTCTTTTCTTGATTTATCTTAATGTTACTTTTATTTTTTTTAATACTTTTATTAGGGGTTCTTACATCTCTTATCACAAGCCATACATTCCTCTAATGTGTCGAGCACATTTGCACATATGCCGCCATCATCATTTTCAAAGCATTCTCTTCCCACTTGAGCCCCTGCTATCAGCTCCCCATTTCTTCCCCTTCCCTCGCCCGCCCTCCCTCACAAACCCTTGATAAGTTATAAATTATTTTTCCCATATCTTACATCATCCTCCGTCGCCCCTCACCCACTTTTCCATTATTTGTCACCCTGGGAGGGGGTTCTAGGTTGATCCTTGTGATTGATTCCCCCTTTCTCCCCGCAACCTTCCCTAATCTTCCTGGTCTCTCTACTCTCCTTGTTGGCCCCGAGGGGTTTATCTATCCTGTGTTGCGGGCTCTGTAGCAGGGTGCATGTTCTGGTCGAATCTGATTTGTAAGGTAGAATTGAGGTCATGATAGTGGGGGGAAGGAAGCATTAAAGAGCTAGAGGAAAGTTGTGTGTTTCGTCAGTGCTATACTGCACCCTGACTGGCTGATCTCTTCTTCCCTGTGACCCCTCTGTAGGAGGTTGTCCAATTGTCTACAGATGGGCATTGGGTCTCCACTCCATGCCTCATCCCACCCCAATTCACCTTGGATATGGTTTTATTCTGGGTCTTAGATGCCTGATACCTGATCCCATTGACACCTCCTGATCACACAGGCTGGTGTGCTTCTTCCATGTGGGCTTTGTTGCTTCTGAGCTAGGTGGCCACTTGTTTATCTACAAGCCTTTAAGACCCCAGACACTATATCTTTTGATAGCCGGGCACCATCAGCTTTCTTTACCACATTTACTTAATGCACCCATTTTGTCTTCAGCTATCGTGTCAGGAAGGTGAGCATTACAGAATGCCGGACTTGTGTTCTTGTGTTAAGCGAGTACTTCCATGTGGGCTTTGTTTTTTCCCTTAAGATCACAGATGCTGTATCTTAGTAGCTGGGTACCATCAGCTTTCTTTACCACATTTACTTAATGCACCCATTTTGTCTTCAGCTATCGTGTCAGGAAGGTGAGCATTACAGAATGCCAGACTTGTGTTCTTGTGTTAAGCGAGTACTTGAGTTGAGGCCCAATGTCCATCTG